TAGAGGGAGAAGAATGCAAGACGCTTCCTGACAACTCCGGATGGATGTGCGCCACAGGCAATAAAATTAAGACCACGAGAGTAAGTTCTCTCTATTTTTTTTTTTTTGCATGTTGCCAACTGCACTGTTTGCCTTTGTGTTGAACAAACAGCACCCAGAGAAGCTTTAAACAGGAGAGCAAGTAGCCTTTTCCCCCCGACAGAAATTATTCTGAACCATTCAGATCAATGTCCATCCATCAAAGAGAAGTTAGACATTGAACTTGACTTCTCTGTCCTGCTGCAGTTTAGTATTGCTGTTAAATAAAGCTGGGTTGCCAGAGCCCAGGGGGAGAGGAGCAGTGAAGGTAGTTATTTGGATAATTCATCCGACATTTATGGTGCTCAGAACAGATAATAAAATAAGGGTCTTGCTTAATTCATTCAGATGGTTTGCCGAAAAGCTCTGAATTTAAGTACAGCCATTTTCTAAAAGTCCTTTAAAGGAATTCTTTGATGCCCTTTTAGGGAAGCGAAAAGGTTTTCTGATGTGAATAATCATTCCTTGCTTTCTGTGGTTAAGTCAGGAGCTGGCTTCAAAACACAGACCAACCTGTGTGGTGAGGGCTACCCAGCTCATGAGAATTGGTGTCATGATGCTGGAGCAGGTTGGAGAGGCCCAGCTAGGCCAGTCATTGACCCGACAGATCCTGGACCGTAAGAGAGTCTGGGAATTCTAATGAGAGTGTGGAGAGGGGTTCCTCAGGGCACGTAAAACAGTAACTACTGATTCACTAGTACAAACGTTTGTCAGCATTTTAACAACCCGTAAGGTGATATGTGTTTGTACGACATGAATGTCAGCCCTGTTATGTGTGTATGTATTTTAAGGTATTGGGCATATTTTAAAGAAAGCTCCACCAGTTACAGATCCCAGTAGGTAGTCTTCTAAAGGGGGGAACTCAAATTTAAAAGGGGATCTCTGATTCCAGCCCCTGTATCATGAGTCTTCGCCGCACTGTCTTTTCCAAAAAAAAAAAATCAGTTCTTGCATCTTTGGGGAACAAAAAATATAATATCTTATAAGTCATTTTTCCATATATAAAATAAGTGGAGACTCTGTGTGTGTCAAATTCCGTTGCTGGTATTGACCAGGTTAGCCAGCGAGCAGCTCTACCTCCCTGGTTTGCAGCAGGAGTGATGCCTAAACTGTCCTCACTTGTTAACGTGCACGTTATATGCACCGGTTGATCATACTTCATTTCAGTGAGACACCTACAGAAGAGAGTATGCAAAAATGAGCCCAGTTTGTGCCACTTACCCCCAGGAATCACCTTAATTAGCTGGTGGAGTATGGATTTCAGGTTTCCCTTTGGTTACATTTTTGCCTGAAGATGATTTTGCCAAATAATTTGAAGGTACCCTCACAAATTAGTTTTAAGCTACTCTGAATTTTGGCCAGTGTGAGTGGAATCCAGTCACGATTGTTATAAATGCACTGCTGACATACTCTCTGCCAAATGTCCAATCCCTATTCTAAATGATAACTGATCACCATTTATGGATGGTAAGCTCCGCTCCAGTGGTGCCTCTAGACTTGAAACTCAGTAAATAACAGTAATGTAAGTCAAAATATTTCAGAATTTAAACATGTGAAACTCCCAAGAGTACCAACAAGGAAACTCTTGGGCAGATTGAAAATAAGCACACAAAACACAGAAATTGTTAATGCTACTTTTTGGTGACTTACGTCACTTTGTAAAGTATATTTTGAAACCATCAGACATGTTGTAAATACATCATGGACATTCTCCAGCATCACAGAGGTGGAGGTACGAAATCTGATCATGATATAGAGCCTGGTACACAGTATGTTCAGTATGGCTTGGGTGGGCCGAATGCAGTCCAGACAGTTGAGTGTGCAAGAGAAATAAATTGTCCTTGCAGTCAGTTTAAAAGCAGAGGATGCGCCTGCTCTGATGTGTGCATTCATTTCAGGCATGGAAATAAGAGACTACTCTACAGCCCTATGAGTGGCACACAGGTCAACTAAGAATTCTCGAGTCTGTCTTTAGAGACAGAAAAAGATGACATTAGAAAAAGCTGTATCGTTTTAAACCTTGAGAAAACCCAAACGCTACTACTGACCTACAGTTTCTCCCCACTTCCTTACAAAGAAATTCACAATGAAATAAGCACTTTTAAAAGGCGCCAATTAAGTCCAGATGATACATACAAGAGCTCCATTCTAAACAAACAGTGAACACCAGTCCTTAGATCGTATGCCCTGAAAATGGGTTTTATGTGAGTTTTTCAAGTATGCCCTGTGTATTTTGCCCCATCAGAGTATAAATATGCCTACACACTTCAAATGTTGACTCTAGCAATTTAGCTTTTGAAACAATGTAATTCACAGATGTGCTTTAATTATGCATCATATGTTTTCATTGTTCTTTATCTAAGAATCTTCAGGGTTAAGCATTCAAGTTCTTATTAAAGTGAAAGGAAAAATAAAGAAAATCACCTCTTTTGTTCTTATGTATAAGACTGATTGAAAGAGAGTGCTCTCAGGAAAAAATTAAAACAAAAACTCGAAGAAACATACGCAGTTTGCTAATGGCAACTGGGAGTTTCCTTCACACTGTTATTTTTTTTAAGTAGCTCCAGTGTAAAGAAATTTGCAAGAAAGATTCCTGGGACATCATTCTTTCTCCCTGTATAGTTTTTTTCACCCCAAAACCTTCCTATTATATGGGTTACTTCCCAATCAGTCATCCTGAGGCAAAATTCTCAGCAGTCTTTGAACTGTGGATAAACAGAAGACGATTCAAAAGGTGGTCTAACTTAAATTTTTATGATGCTAATTTTTTAGGGTGAGGAAGAGTAGGAAATCAGTGTTTCATTTAAATAACCAGACACCCAAGAATGTGGACTAGCTAGGGTAACAGGCCACATTCTGAAGAAAAGCTTGGGGAAAATGGATTTGGGTGAAAATGCAACTCAGAAGGAAGGAGAAAAAATACACAGAATTAAGTGAAATCTTCCCTTTCAGGAGATTTGAAAGAATAGGTGATAGGGAAAGAGGAAGCTTCCTGAATGCCACCCTACAGAGAAAATGGCCATGCTTGAGAGGTTTTCTAAAAATCCAGCCCATGGTACAGTAAAGCTGGTAACAGATACTTTCTGGAGAGAAGTTTGGTACATTTGGGTGAAGTTTCTTGGCTAAATTTTAACCCCATTCTGCTTGATCATTGCTTCTGTTGTTTTATTAAATTGCATTGTTAGTAATCTGTAGCAAGACTAACCAACCCAAATATTAACCAGAGGTTTTTACCTATGGTTTAGATACCCATTGATGTATTTCTTTTCTTTAAACTTCTATATAAAAAACATAAGTTTGAAATTGAGAAGGCTATACACCATATGTCCAGGAATATATCTATAATCTGTGTATTCAGGATCAATGACTTAGTTTAGAAAGATAAAGTACCCCGCAGAGAAAATAAGTTGTTTGACACACTGTAATAATTTATATGTAAAAAGTGAACATTGGTTGTTTGGGGACAGGAAGAGGAAGAGAATAAAACGGAGAGAAATCCAAAATCACTTGGGAAGGAAAATTAGCAGATTAAAACACCAGAACGTAATCTGGTCTAATACCCTGGGAAGTATCAAGCAACTCTGGATTTCCTCCAACGCAATACATTAATGTCTTTCCGACTGGGGAGGAAATCAACAGTGCACAATGTAGAGTCAAGTTTCACCCCCTAAAAGGGCAAGCTACAGATCTCAGGTTACACAGCTAACCACAAGAGCTGTCTTGTCAAATTTGGTGTTTTAAATGACTAGCCCAACACAACTCACCACAATCATTAGTCCACAGCCTTCCTGGGCCCATCCTTCTATATAGTGACTCTGACTTTGCATATCTCCACCCATTCTAAATCACCCTGATGGTTTTTTATACTGCTGAAGGGTAAAGGACCAGCTTGGACATATTACAGCTTCTTTCACTCAAAATTCCACCAGGTCTGAAACGTTCTGAGAGCCTTTATAATCCTGATTGCTAGTCTATTCGTTTTGCAAGAAATGCCTTTAGACAGAGAGAGAGGTTGGGGCTGAAGGGAGGGGCTGTGGGTCTTTAGAGATTGAGGAAGGAAGAGCAAATTATCTTCTTAAAGAATAAACTATGCTATCCCAGTTGGAGCAAAGCAAGCTCATTCATTTCTTTAACCAATAAATAATATGAAGCCTCTTTTATCTGAAGTTAAGGTCTTGGGCATGAAGTGGTGGACATAGCAGAGCCCCTGGTCTCCCCTGCGCCTAAGGTTGGGTGGGACCGTGCGGGGTTCGGTACAAAATAAAAGAAAGGCATTTCCTGTTTAGTTTTGGAAAATGTCACTTTCTCCTTCCATTCGGTTAAAATGAAGACAATGAGCACAAAATGTGATAAAGACCACTGGAATGTAGGAAACCAAGATTCAGAAGGATCTGTTATTTATATGGAGAGAATAAATAGAAATTTGTGAAGATTTCTCATTCATTCTGCCCCTGGCCCAACCAACTTTCAAATGCAGATTCATATTACTGTTCTTACCTAACCCTGAAAGCTTTAAATGGATTTCACTCCTGGACTCAGAACACTCCTTTTCTAAGGCTATAAAGAATTAAGAGATGATGAAGATAAATGCCTGCTGTCCTAGAACTCCAAAGCAGAATCTTCAACTCCATTAGAATCATCATTCATACTCTAAACCAGTGATTCTCTGTGCATGCATCTTGTTGAATATAAGAATCTTTGGGACCATATTTGAGTGGATTAAATGGCTCTAGTAGTTATAAGAGTGCACCCTTGATTGCACTTTGTCATTGTCTGAGTAGAACAGTTCCTCACCTTACAAACATCTCTCAGGTTTCTCACCGAATGTGGTCTAACCTTGGCAATGAGTTCACCTTATGTCACCCCTCTGCATCTTACAACAGAGCAGCATGACAAGGCCATGGAGTTTCCTACTCATGAAATTGTCATCAGACAGACACAGGAATGGCAACATAATTTGCAGGGAGAATCCAGTGCAAAATGAAAACACATGGCCTCTTGTTCAAAAATTACTAATAATTTCAAGATGGCAACCACAGGTCATTGAACCAAATGTGGGGCCCATTTCAGCAAAGGGCTGTCTGCAGCTTCATAGGTCATATGCCTGTGACCCCAGTCTCAGTTAGGCATCGCTCCAAGATTCTGTCTCCTTAACTTGTTGCAAAATTAATTTAATGAATTGATAAAAATATGGTGGCCTGTCCATGTGCTTCGACTACTGTTTGAGAACTACTGCTCCAGACTTTAACATTTTTTCACTGCAGTTCACTTGAAAGAAGGAACATCCTAAAATTTCAAGGTGTCTTCATTTTCTGCTAATCTCTGTTCTTTGTCCCTTCTTTTTCTTCTTTTCTCCCTGAAATTTCTCTCTTTCTTTCTTTGGTTTCAGATTCATCCAAGAACCTAACGGAAGCATTTGTTATAGTAGTAAAGGAAAACCACCTCTGCGGAAAATACATTTTAAGAATTTAAAACATCTTATACATTAGAAGCCAAATGGATTTCTTACTTGCACTTTGACTGGTTACCAGATAATCACAGTGCTTTCACTGTGTGTCACGAAGTATCCTATAGTGAGAAGACCTGGAGTTTTGGGCCACACCATGGAAAGTGGGTTAAAGAAAAAAAAAGGGGGGGAGTTTCTCAATGCAAATTTTTGGGATTATGAAGAACAATCAACTGTCTTCTAATTTGGATCTATAGTTACTTTGTACCATTTGAAATATATGTATATATATAATATTTTGAAATATTATATATTCTCTTCAAAAAACGAACAGTACCACAGTTTGAGGAGACTGGCGTACCTCTTTGAGTTTTGGACGTTTGGTTTTGTTTTCTTGTCCTTTGTTTTTCTATCGGCAAGGAAAAGTATGTGCCCTTTGGAGAGGTCAACGTGGCACTCAACGCTGGACGGCCGGCTGCAGGTGGACTCCTGGAATCTGAGGCATCATAACGATTCTGAATCAGGAGCTTCCTTCTCTTTCTACCGGATGGCCAAGGAAGCTCAGCATCCTGTTTTATTGCTTTCCACCCTGTGCAGTATTAGCATGCAAGCTTGGCTTACATAACCACACTTTATATTCAACTGGTATATAATAACCTTTCTAACCTCTTCCAGGAAAATATTTTTAGAACTACTAGCTTTTCCACAGATAAGAAAAGTGAGGATTCCTGAGGGCACTGCTCCACCATGCTGTCAAGACTCTGGCCGAGTTACGGTAGAATGTGGGTCCCTGTATTCAGCTATGTAAATACAACGTGTTAAGGCTTTGCATAGCCGTCCTAGACTGCAGAAATGTCCTCTGATTAAACCCAAAGTCTGACATCATTGAAGTACATAGTGCTGTAGCAACAAGTCTTATCAATGCACCTCTTTCTATATTTGGTTTGTTTTTTTTTTTCCAAGAGTGTTCAGATCTCTTCTGGTGAGATGGGAAGACCGTTAAAGCACTGAGGTTCCAGAACAATCTATGTGACCAAATGTTGGACAGGCCTATTAAAGTGGTAAATAACTTCTTTCTAAATCTACTTGTCCTCTTTATTTGCCCTTTATTTCTCCTGTATCAGCTCTAGCCAAATTCAGAGAACACCCGCTTAGGGACACGTAGTCCGCCAGAATTTTTTGCAGAGGTCACTGCTGCCATCGTAACCAGTGTTTGCAACTCTAATAATTTGAAGACTAGAAATCCATTCCCACAAGTCCAGTGTCCTCAGCCAGCAAGATGAAATGTCAAATCCTATTATTGGGCTTCCATAGTGGTCACTTGGATGATGCATATTGCGCTCACCTCCCAAAAAATACATCCATAGTCCATCTTCTCTTTTTGAGAGTTACTCGGCTGATGCTTATGTTTCCTTCTAGTTAAGTTCTAGTTTACCTGGTAGAGGATAATAGCCCCATACACTCCTGTTACTTTCCCTATCGTATTGCAGGTTTATCTGTTTTTTCTCCAAAGCCTTTTCTTCAGAATAGACATTATTAGGGGCTGTTACTGGATCGGCAGCACAGTGGGTCCCCCAGTGGGGATTTTTTAAGTTAAACTTCAGGTAAAATCCAGAGGCTCCTTCATCTCTCCCAGAATACCCTTAAGTCTAATTAACTGTATAAACACTCCAACCAAGTATATTTATTCTGCATCTTGAATGCCTGTAAAAGCATCCAAAAGTGGAAATGGAATCCTCCTTGCAAAACCTGAGCCTCCCAGACACTTCCACAAATATTTGCCAGAAGGCAGCGTAGAATTCATACCAGCAAATCAGAATTCCTTGAATTTCTGGCCCATACCCATGTACCAAGAAATGTATTAGAAACTGATTTTCATCTGTAAATTTTGGAGTGAAAACTGAAATCCTAAACCCAAAGAATGATCTAGGACAGTACATCCCAAAATGTGGAGGAAAAAAACTATATTCAAATATATCGAGGAAAAGTTTTTCAACAAAATAAAATAGAAATCCTCAAGAGCCTTTAATTTACCAAAAAGACACTGTATATCTCGAGGAGAGACTAACCCAGAGGGAGCCAAGTAAAAAATTTCCAGAATCCAGGCATGTTGGGTGGTTCCTTGACTAATGAAGAACTCATTGCCTGCCTATTGGGAAGTTACCAGGAATTATTTCTGTCTGAGGATATCTTTACTGCATTGTCATGTCTTCAGTTTTTCAAGAGAACCAGAAATCTGGATTTTTCCATAAAATCTTCTAACATTCTAAACTAAGATTAACTAAAATGAGATTATTTCCTTTGAAAACTCTGCAAGCCTCATTATTGGCCAAAATGTCCTAACCACGTGGCCTTTTCTACAAGATGAGTGCTTTCTGGAATTTCCTTTGAATAGTGTTAGTCCTGACTAAAAATGCAATGGGTAGATAAAGGGATATTCTCTTCCTGTGGTCTCGAGCATACAGACCATTGCCATGATTCACAGTACGTGGGGCTCAGAGCTTTTTCTGTTCTGTGACTACAGCCTGTATGTCAATGAAGGAATTGGTCTAGAGGTCCAGATCTGTTAGTTCATTTCCTGTTGGTCACTTAATGTAATAGCTTCCCTGGAAAGACCTGGAAGAAGAGAGAAGAGGGGAAAAAAAGACCACATCAGAATCAAACAACCATCCAATAAAGCAGGTGCAAATATTTGTCGATGTCACCAAATTCAATTTGGATTTATCCAAGTCCTTTACCCAAATGCGTGAACCCTCAACTTGTGTTTAAATTTAACTTGCACCAGTTTGGGGAATTTTCACTAGCTACCATCTGCCTATGGAATCTGATGGTTTAAAAACTGGTATCACGTATTTCTGGTTAATAAAGAGCTCAGTGTGGTATGACTAATACTGATTTTAAGTTTTTGCATCAAGTACAGTGAATAATATCGTAACATAATTAGAGCAAATGCCAAGGGTTCATCCAGAGCCCAGCTCTTGGTAAAAAGGGAAATAGGACTTATCTCATAAAGCAAAGATTTTCAAGTAAGGTGAAGCTTATTTGTTGATTTGTGTGTGTGTGTGTGTGTGTGTCTGTGTAATTACATTTATCCACTAATGGATTTAGAAAGCACATTGAGAAGTTTTATGATCTTTTTCTTCCATTATAGAATGATGAAGAATGCTTCCACCAACACACAACTCACATCTTTTTCTGATCAAATCCAGTGTAACTTTCCCCAAGCAATACAGTGATTTTATAGTGCAGTATATTATGCCACCTTGCCATTGTCACTGATAAAGTAAGTTACGGAGGGTATAAAAACTGTTTATGTGAGGAGATCCACACATTCCTCACCTCGTGGGATACACACTTCTTCCTAGAAGGTTAAATATTGTGTCATAATATGAGTTTCTCTTTTAATAAAGTTTGACGGTCCCATTTCAAAATCTGTTCCAATTTGCTTGACAAAGATGTGTGTCATGTCTCATTTCACAAGCTGCCTACCTTCTAAATAAAAGATTTAGTGCCTAGCAAAGTCTAGGGCTCAAGCCACTTCCCTCTAGTTTCTAAATATAAGGAAACAAGATAAAAGCCATACTAAGGAATGTGAGAGCTCGGGTCTTGTGCACAGTGATAGAATCTGATTTCCTAGTACTCACGGGCATGATACAGAAGTGATAAAATAGAATCATGTTCATACTTCAAAGTAAATTAAAGAGGAAGCCACTAATTGTGTATATGCCCGCACACACGCACACACACACACGCGCGCGCACACACACACACACACACACACACACACGTTTTAGGGTGAATTGGCCAGGTTTTTTTTTCCTTGTAAAAGTTCTCAGGAGCATCTCAGTGGATGTTGTATTATGCTGACATCTTTGGTCCATAAATGGCTCATATTTATTTATTCTATTTACTTAAGTAGCTTGTTTTCATTTTTTATAAAACGTTAAGCTCTCATTTATTGATTTTGGTCACCAGTTACATTATTTAAAAAATAATAACCAACTACTATATGTGAAACAGATAAACAACAAGGTCCTACTGGATAGCACAGGGAACTATATTCGGTATCTTGTAATAGCCTATGATGAAAAAGAATGTACGTATATGTATAGCTGACTCACTGTGCTGTACACCAGAAACCAACACAACACTGTAAATCAACTGTATTTCAATTTAAAAAACTTTTTAAATAATAACCAACTGGCAAACATGAAAGCCAGGAGCCCAACCATAACCAGCTATATTTATAGATCAGGGGATGTTCATCCAGCCCTAATTCTATCTGTTTAGAGAGGCTGTAGCCAGAGGTAGACTCCCATGCAAACCGTGAGAAAAACCTGAGCCCAGACTTTCCTTAAGACAGTGGTTCTCAACCTTTAGGCTGTGACACGTGGATATGGGGCCATTCTTCATGAAGTGGGTTGGAAGTAGCTCCTTTCTCTAAAGCCTGCAAATACATTTTTAAAGCAATTATTGTTGGCTCATGGGTAGTTCTCAAACAGGGTCTACAAGACATAGATGCCCAGAGAAGCTAGCCAGGTCACACAAGGTAGCTAACCAGGGTCACCCGTAAGGTCTCAGCACACAGTGAGGAGGGTGGAGGAGTGGCACACGGCTGGTTCCAGCAGCCAGCACTTGGCCCCAGCCTTTTGCTGCCAGGCAGCATTAGGGAGCTAATATGGCCCAGATTTTCTGTTTGGGGGATTTTTCTTAAGAAAATCCAGAAATTCAGAGGATTATATAAAATCTCCAAATTTTACATATTTATAACCAATTGAACTTTAATTAAAAGATTGACCAAAGACTTTTTTGTCTAAGAGGCACAAGTTTCCAAATCTGACCTAAAATCACATTATTCTCATGGATTTGCATTCTCATGTGCTTCCTCTGGTGGCAAGGGAAGAAAAATGATGGAAGTAGAGCTAGTTTGCAGTCCACTGCCTGTATCCTGCAACCTTTCCTGCTGTTGCCCCTGAGAACACTATGTGTATAGCAATGGATGCTGGTTATGCTAGACTGGGGGCATGCCAAGTTCCCAAAAAGAGGTCAACCACTTGTACTGAAATAGAGTAAGTGGATTAAACTTCCATTGATTCAGCCTTTAGGATCACCAGCTTAGGGACTGGAAGGAAGCAGTGAAAGGTCAGCAGATCCCACCAGCTGGTGCTGACAGACTTAAACTTCTTGAAGGGGTTCCCAGAAATGGGATTCTGTGCGGGCAACCACACATCATAACAATGTGGGGACATGGTGAACTAGTTAAAGTACCAGTTTGAAATTTTAAAGAGCATAAGCAGAAGATTTTGCAAAGGCAAATAATCAGGAAAGACTATAAGAGTATAATGGAGTCTTCTAAGGATATAGTCCTATAAGGATGTAAGGAGTCAGATTGACTTAAATTGACTTCCAGAAATGTTAAGGTCAACGTAAAAAACTTTTTGTAGCTATGTTCAAAGCAAGTAGGTCACACCTACTGGGTGAAGCCAATAACGTATAGGTGATAGAGAACTCAGGTTTTTCTCAAGCAACTATATTATTTCTGTTTCTTCTATGTCAATAAAAGTTATCTTCTGGCAAAAATGTCTGGAAGGAATATTGTTAAGAGAGAAGTAAACTCAAGGTCGGGGAAGAGACTGGTAAGACAGCGTCTAGCTCTCCTCAATGATTCAGGCACCCTGGGTGCAGGGATGGGGGGAGAAATAAAGCCCTGGTTTGTGCGCGTTAGTATTTCTGAGGTGTAAAGACTCCCACCATGGCTGATTTCAGGCTGCCAACATCACACGGGAAAGAGATGACTGACCCTCGCAAGCCAATGAGAGCCAGCTGCAGCATATCACTGCATGCATAAGGGAAATCACATTTCTAGTACCAAGGGGAGAAAAACCTGTCATATAATTAACCATGCCAGTTCTAGGGAATTGTGAAGTATCTGGGCGAGGCGCCAGAAGTCTGGTATAAGTTAAATACAGTTACAACTGTCAAAAGGAGAAAGTGGATTCTGAAAACTGTAGACCAGTGACCCTGAGGTCAGCCCAGGGCAAAATTCCAGAGTAGATCATTTAAGGAATTTGTGGGGAATATTTAGGGAAACAGTGATCACCAGGAGCCAACTTGGGTTTACTGAGAAAAATACCCTGCGAGACAACTTTTTCATTGCCCTCCCTCTTTTCTTTAACTAGTCTAAGGTTTGTTTGTTTGTTTACCTGAGGGACATGTTATATCTGGACATTTGCAAGGTGTGAGTCTAGGCAAACTATGGCCTTACGTGAATCTGGCACGCTGCCGGTTTCTGTAAGGAGAATTACATTGTAACATAGACACGCATTTACATACTGGCTGTCGCTGCTTTTGCACTACAACAGCAACTGAATGCCTGCAACAGAGATTTTATGCTCAGAAAGTCTGAAATATTTACTGTTTGGTTCTTTATTGTCTACTGCTCCCTGGTATGTTATAGAGAAGGCTGGATGATAGTAAAAAGTTACGTGAGCTGATGGCATGATGAATAGTCATATTTAGATGTTTTGAATTTACAGAATAATTGTTTCCTGGAGAAAGATTTCTAGTAGCAGAATCCTGGGTTCTGTCCCAGCTGTGTCCTGGGCATTTTTTTCTTATCAACCGTGTGAAAGAGAGTGTTGACGTGGTACGTAGACCAGTATTACAGAAGATCCACAGTCAAACTGGTCGTGGACTACCTCGCATGATTAAATCAAGTTCAAGCAAGTAGACAGAGGAAAGCATTTATTTTTGATTATAAACAGTTCAAGGAGGTCGATGTCTAGATTCATGGAAAAAGAATAGCAGGTCAGAAATGAGAAGCTGCACTTTCGTATTTGAAGGTCTACCATTTAGAAGAAGGATTAGTTTCTAAAGAGCAGGTAGAATTTATAGCTAAACATATTTCTGTTTAAGAACAACTTACCTGATTGACTTTCTTTAGTAGGTCATGAGCGTCTTGTTATGAGTGGTGTTCAAACCTAGACCAGGAGAATGCTTAGGGGTGCTGTAGAAGGATTCGTGCCGAAGGAATCTTGTGTTTCTCAGCATCTGTGATTATCTGAGCCTAATGTCTTATCAGTAGAGTGAAAACAGAATTAAAGATACTCTGTAATGTCAGATGCTTATGATATAACAAATTCTTAAGTTCTGAAGAGCAGCTCCAACTGCCTGCAACCAGATGGCTTGGTTTAGACAGACAAATGTCCCTGCCCTGCCCCAGAAGCATTGTTCACCAGCAAAGAAATAAAAGGTCCTCCTTCCCAATTTCAGTGGCATCTGTTTCTTCAGAGTAAGTTGGCCACACCTGGAACAAGCCAGCTTCATCACTAACCAGTCAGAGGATTAAGGGGGTGATGATGAAAATGAATTGGAGTCATAGTAATTTTATAATAAATCAACGGCCCTTGTTACGGAGACTGGCCAAAAGACTTCAGGGAAGTTCGGTCAGATAGAGCTACAACTTCTAGCAGGAAGCTGGATAACAGGGAAGCAGACCAAAGCCAAATAGGTCAAAAACGAAACAGCTGAAGGCGGGAATTTGTTTAAAAATGTAACATAGAGCAAGTCACTGAACATTTTAGCCGGGGATGTCTCCACTGTCTTTAAGTGGTTTATCAACTTATAGACATCATCTAATTATATACCAGATTTTAAAGCGCAATGAGATCTGTGAGTAGTGGGTAATTCGATAAGTGAGAATTTGTCTAGACAAAAATCTCTCAACTCTATTTCACATTTCACTTTTAACGCACTACTTATGATCTCAGTGTTATTTCCAGGAATGCCTAAATAAAAGACCATCAGCTATTTCTTTACTTCATTGCAAGTTTTGTTTTCCTTATGTGGAAGAAAATTGTTAAA